TTTTGTGATTCCTTGACTTTTTGAGAATCTCTTATGTTTTTATTTGGGTCTTCTGTGTATATTAATATGACTGATAGTTTCCTTAAGAATTTATTATATCCTCTGTGGGCTCTGTTTATGTTCTGGTTCACCTTCTTGGTTATGTAATATTTAGTTATTACCCTTTGTGATCTCTTTGTTCCCTCAGTCAGATCCCCATGACTGTCTGGTCTTTGATTCTGTCTCCACGTTTATTTTCTGTCCACTATCAAGTTTCCAGTTTTACTGTGAAGGTCTCTTTTTCCTTGTGTGTTTTGTTGAGTTTAGCTTCCCTCGTCTCATTATTCCAGATTTGCTCTCGCTGTGTTTCCCACCTGTTTCCTCTCTGCCCCGCTCTCCCCTGTGTATCGTCTTTGCCAGAGCGTACTGTTCAGTTCACCAGCATCATTTTGTCCCATGGTCTTTGTACCGATGTGTCTCTTTGCCCTGTGTCAGTTTATTGGTTCAAACTTGGGTTCTGTTTTGATTTCTGTTTTGTCTCATGTTGGTTTTTCATCAGTTCAATAACGGGCTCGCCTTTTGTTAGCCTCCATCTGCCTCTGCGTCTGTACCTTGCATCCTCCAGCAACACATACTGACATTTGGCCCACTCTTCTTTGCACAAGTGCTTTAATTCAGGCACAATAGAAAGTTTTTGAGCATGAATGTGTGATGGTCCTGGGTTTTTGACCCTGTCTTTATCTTTTTTGACTTTCAGATTCTGTTCATTATTAAATATCTTCCGTAATTAATTAAATCCCTTGAGTTTCAGTTTTCCTGCCATCATTTCTTCCCCTGTCTAATGTTTCCAGCTAACCACCCACCAGCTGCAGTGATAGCTAGCCACCTTTCTGAGCCTGCTTTATCTGTTTTGCCATCCTCAAAGAGCAAATGTGGTCGCTGGTAACACCTCGGTAAGCCTGAACACTGCAGCAGAAGCCAAGCACCGAAGGTCTTCCCACCTGGGTCAGTCAACCAGGCTGCGGCTAGCTCTGAGTGCAATCAATGCTAGGTCCACTCTGAGGTTCCGTCCTGGATTGATTAACACAAAGACTGAAGACACTAAAGACAAGAGCTGCTAGGTGCACATTGTTTCTGTACCTGTGTCAGTCAGCACTGGGCCCACAGAGTGTTTTGCTGCTAGGTCCCAGTGAGAGACTGAATGTGGGCTGGCAAACCCAGAGACTGAGCACACTACACCTGTCCCAGCTGCGAGGGTGAGGGCAACCAGGCCACAGCCTCAACCCCAGCCTCCAGAGCTGCCTGTTGCCCTCTGCAGCCCCAGCCTCTGCAACCAAAGCATCCTGGACCAGCCTTTCTGCTTGCATCTACTGACACCAGGCTTTTCGCCATTGTTGACAACAATGAACCTCCTGAGGTATCCTGTCAAAACGTGAAAGTTGGTATCCCGACTTGTGCCATACAGATGATAGAGGGGAGAGTATGATAGTGCAAGGATAGAAACTGGAGCAAGGAAATGTAAGTAAGAGGTAATTTGAAGTTTCTCACAAGGGAAGTATAAAATGGACACACCGCTGAATAGATTAACTAAAAGACTAACACGGGAAAATAAAAAAAAAATCACATAGAAATATAAATTCTGGGTAAAGAACAGAATTCATGGTACCATCAATACAGAAAGTCATCCAGATACTGAAACCCCAGTCTGCCATCACCAGCACCAGGTGTGACTGTTGGTATAATGTTCTTTGTGTGAAATGCTATAATGCTAGTTTTATACCACATGTAATGAGACTATATGTGTATGTGTGTGTGTGTGTGTGTGTAGTCACTTGAGGTACTGTAGTACTTATGTCATGTTTACCTTATAATAAAGGACAAGTAAAATATAAAGTACTATACTCCAGACTATCACAGCGAGTAAACATCTGGATCAAAACAAAAGGAAAATGAACTTTTGCCTACAATTGTTTTTTCTTGCCTCGCTCTGTTTCAGGTTTCAGGTTCCTAGAAAGGCAGTTTTCTGCCACCATCGGGGGAACAAGCAGCCCCTGAACCCCCCAAAACAAATGAAGTTGAAAACCCACCGAACCCACCAGCCCGTCTCGGCTCCCTGCACTCCTCTCGTCTGCTCTCCCTGAAAGCCCCTGGGAAAAGGTTGCCAGCCCCCCACCACATCAACCACAGTGCTCTGACATGCCTGTCTTTGTGCACATCAAGGGGAACTCAGCTTCAGTTTGTGCTGCTCACACCAGGAGTCAGATGAGTTGCTTGCAAAAAATACAGCCACACGGAGAAAAGCGTTGGTTTCAGTTCATGTGCCTTTGATTTGATTTCAGTCTGAGGTCAGATTCGGGCTCCAGAAGATATCTGTTCAGAAATGCCATTTTTTCCAGTTGTGTCAGTGAGAACTTGCATTGGGGAATTCTGACAATTTTGCTGACAATTTGGCAAAAAAGTCAAAAAAGTCAAAGAAATTTCAAAGTCTTCTTTGTTGTTAATGACAGTCGAACTCTTAAGCACTGACTAACATACCTTAGATACAAAGGTAGATAGGATAGATGATAGAAGATGTTTTCATCCTGTACATTTAATTACTCTTTGTGGCTGACATTTCCAGACAAACAAGGGTATTCATCTTGTAAAATGATAAGCAATAGTGTAAAATTGAGAGGTCGTGTGGAGTTTATGAGATATGAAAAGCGTGGTACTTTTCCCAAGTAAGTTTCAGAGAAACAGCCGAGAGTTCGTCATGCCCACAGGGGGCACGCTGTTAAAAGCTGTACAAACAGGGCAAGCTAACATCTGGGCTAATTATAATCTGCATTTGATCAAGTGCTGTGGCTTCTACTAAACTTACATGCCATCTGCAGATATGCTGATTCTAAGTGTTTTTTATGAATAGTAACATCTTGAAGCCTGTAAGTAGTACAATTTAAGAATTTTTCTGCTGTCAGTCAAGGGGTTTGAACATTTTTGGGGCTAAAATTTGGGCAAAGATTCAAGAGATTCCGCTTTTGCTCAGCATTCGCACATGCAAGCTGTAGAATGAGCTGTGAAATTCTGATCTATTTCTGTCTGTGCCTTCAGTTTGATTGGTTAATGTTTTTCTCTCTTCTGTCACTCGAAATAAGCCCGATCTTCCCTGGGAGGGTGTTTTTATCAGACGTGGTATTTTTATTATGATCAAGATAAATGAAGAACTGATTAGTTTATGATACTGATTTCTGTGATATCAGTACAGATAAAGTAGATTATTTTTTTTCCAGTCTTCTTTAAGTGTTTTAGAGAAAAGCAGACATAGATTATGCTGTGCTGGGTACATAAAGGGTAAAGTACTTCCCCTTCAGTTCAAGGAAGGTAGGCTGTGTTTGATGTACAGTGAAAAGCACTAGTTTTTTCCTTTGCCATATATATGCATATTTATTTATTACTTTTCTTGTAGATTGTAGATTTGGTTCTGGGAAACAAAATTAATATAATTTGGGATCATTTTTACACCGAAAATGTCACATGTTTGTAAAGTGTGTTCAAATGTTGGGGTATTTGTAAACTATAAGAACTTGTACATTTCCATGCTGGAGTTTAGTTTGGCCTGTTCAGGCGTTTGGCAAACTGAGACAAGTAACAAAGAAAAACACAAAAAACAGGGGCAGCAGATGCAATTTATATGATAAAAACAAGTCATTTTAGCCAGTTGCTAGGTGAATGCTAGGCAACGAGATCGTGTCATAATATATCCTGCATAATTCAGCTTTTGTGGATATGAAACTAAAACAGTAGGAGTGTCTAAATGGTAAAAAATGGATCAGATGATTGCCAAGCAACATGATGACATAGCTGATGTAGATGAGAACCCTCAGGAGTCTAAAGACGTACAAGGAGGAATCGTCTCATGAAGAAGCACCGAAACACATAGATAGAGATTTGGTGCATGATAACAATGTGAAAACCCTTTTTTCACTTGTACTTCGACTAACCTTTGCAATGCTTTAAAAATAAACTGCCTCTAGTACCTCTTTCAAACTTGTTACTTTGGTTATTTTAGTTAATTCTGGTAACTGTATAGAGGGGCGGGGGTGCGTCTTGTCTTTGGAAGAAGAAGAAGGAAGTTGAATAAGCGACACAGTGACTCAGCTATTTTGCCTTTATTTTATTTACAACATAATTTATTAATTATTTACATGATTAATTCCTTCTAAACATTTACAAAGTGTAGCTTACTTAAAAAAATGTATGATTACACATAAAGTGTACGATTATACCATGTAATGGAAGGTTTTTTAAGGCTGAAAATGTTAGCTGTATGGGTTCAGGTATAATTTAGGGAAGAATAAAAAATAAAAATATAAACTAAAACTGTGTGGGATAGGGGGACACCACATAAAACACTCCCACACGCTCATACACACGACAGGTAGGTATACTGTGTAACTGCTACCTCAGTGTCTCAGAAGTAAAGGTTCAGATGTTCACATGAGAACAATGAGATATTCAAACTTTCCAGAGAATGCTTGGTGTATTTACAAGTACGCCCACATATATAGTCATTAAATCCAGCAGTGACACAAGCAAATTTCTCCCACATTAAATAAGGTTTCATCGTGACTTTGGCATCATCACAACTTAACTGATAGCCCCAAGACACCAGCTGATCAACCCTTTCTTTTATAATTTTACATTTTTATTTATTTATTTATTTTTGTTTAGGTTTGTATTTTATTGGGGTAAAAAAAAAAACACAACAAAAACAAAAAACTCCTATAAAACTGGCTGTTAAAAAGATGCTTACAGTGAAAATGACTCATTTTTTACTAATAGATGCGAACGGGTCAGGGCATTTTGCCACCTCGTGCCTCCAGTCAAACAATGTTCAGCAGCCTTTCAAAATCAAATCAAATCTCTTTGTGTCATGTCATCAGTCGATGGGTGTGAGAAAGTGAAAAGAGGACGTTGTCAGCTACAAGGACACAAGAAACACTCTCAACATCCAGCTGCGCAATACAGAGGTAAGAAGAGCAATTTATCTGGTATCCACTTGTTACTGTGTCATAGTTAATCTCAGCTATATTTTTACACATTTCTATTTGCACCTAAAACATGACAAATGTAATCATCTGGTGCACTGTGACATTTGTGCAGGATATTATTTCAGTACATAGCGAGGTTAAAATATTGTTACCTACTGTCACTCAGGCTAAAGCTAGCGGAAGATTTAGAGGCAACATTTTTTAGCAAGTTTAAATAAACTAGTTTTACATCCATGCTGTTGCCTCGCCTAGTTGTCTTTTCTGTTTTCATTTTCAGGATCTTCTCTTCCTTGTTAAATAAATGAAATTTTATAATGCTAAATTTCAGAGCTACAAATATTCGCCCCTTATGTGGTGACTAAAACAAAAAAGGTCGGTCACAATATGAATCAGTTGTTTTGTGCACGCACTTGTTTCATTTTGAAAATGTGCGAGTCAACATGCGAGGTCAAAATCCTTAATGGCGCCGCTGCTGTTATTGTTCTTAAAAAAAGAGAGAGAACATCTAAATATATTGTTTGCACTTCAAATAAAAGTATAAAAAGTAGCAGAAGTGTCAGTTTAGAAGATGTATGACACCACAACAGGGTTATCCTCACTGAGGGCTTTGTGCAGGTGGCAGGTTGTATTTCTTAAGGAAACCTCAAGCTTTGGCATTGTAACTGAACACGTACAGGTGCACGACATCTAAGTGCACGAGGCTCTAAAAGTGACATGAAAGAGTTGGCTTATCAGACTCCTGCAGCTTTCTGATACATGATTTTTTTTTGCCTCCCATCAGTTCAGTCGACACTCTGCCATGCCAAGATCGTTCCTCGTCAAGAGTAAAAGGACTCACCTCCTCAGCCCGTCTAAGGATGCCTTTAGACAGCAGTGCCTATCCCAGAGAGATGCTGAGGTGCCAGTGGCTGGAAGGGACGGCAGACGTCCTGAAGATGCTGCACAGCCTTCGTCCCCCATCTATGGGGTCAAAGATTTTGCGGCCGAAGCCTACTTGCCGTGGAGTCGGGTGGCGGTCCGATCTCACAGTGACCCCACGCAGGACCGTTGGCCTTCAGGTATGAATATTTCTAGCATTGTTTGTGTATGTCTGTGTATACCTGAGCTTGAAATACTACCACAGTAAATACGCAATGTGTGTCAATGTGGCTTGTTATTTAAAACAATACCAAACGGATTCCGGTTACACCAAAGTTCTTTGTTTTTCTTGTACTCAAAGCCACAAAAAGAAATGCAAAAATGGTTCAGAATGATTCACACATCAATGAACTAATGACATTTGTATTCTCATTCTTAAAAAAAAGCCCCCTTGGAGAAAATAAACGCTCCTCTGCTGGTCTCGCCGTGGTTGGCAGACAGACACCAAGCATCTGAGAGAGAGCGAGAGCTGGAGAGACTGGTCTTCATGTTAGTCAACCACACATCGCACACTGACCTCAAATCCCCCGTCAGTGATTGCCCGCTGTGCGAGAAGGTAGGAGGCCTGTGGGTTGTGAGAATTATTAGTCTTTGCTGTTGATGTTCTTATCAGTGTCACAGAGAAAAAGAAATCACAAGTGGAGAGAATACTCTGAACCGCTTCATCTGTCTGTGCGTTCTCATGTGGAGGAATTTGAAATGAGTCCTGATCTCTCTAAAACTTTATTGATAAGAAGGTTTTGTTTGCATTTAGAATGCACGCGTTCATATACGATCATAAGCTGTATGCTAAGTTGGAAGCTCATATCCAGAAAAATCTCTCTGCTTTTTGAATCAGCATCGGTGACAGTCTAAAAAACGTTTATGCTGTTTAAATTGAACGTCATTTGTAATCAGCTGTCCTGTTTCCTAACTGGAGCTGATGTTGGATTTTTGAGCTCACACTGATTTCAATAGTCTATAAAAAGACATAAAAGATTAAAAAACAAAACAAAACAGGATTTTGTTGTTGACCCTGTTTGTGTGAGCTGGAAATATTTGCTAGTGCCCTCCTGGACAGAATGATACGGAATATTTGAGGATCTTTATAATAATTTCTAAATATGACAAATGTATTTTTGGCACATCATATTATTGAACAGATGACACATTTGCTTATAACAGCGGTATGTGTTCACAAGTTTTAACTATTTATTGTGATTTCTAGCAGCATCGCCAATACAAAAGGTTTATTATAATAGATAATTAATGCAAAGCTGGCTGACGCCTAAGCCGCGTGTTCTCCAAATATTAAGAAAAGACCTTTTATTACCTTTATTCAAATGTTTTGCTGAAGATGAAATTCAATTTAAACAATCGAGGTGCTTTAACAGGCGCCGTCTGGAAACAAACGAAGAGTGAGTGCAGTGTTTGCAGAGCATGCTTAGAAAGCTGAAAGTAACAGTTCATGCAATATTGCATCAACCTACATGCGCCAGTCAGATGCAGCCTGCAAGGAATATTGCCATTTACTTTGGTTACTCACAAAAACAATTGCACTTTTAAATGATTGTGCACACTGTTTGAGCACCACTGGAGAATTGGCACAGCTGTAGCTCATCATGTTTTGTGAATGCTTTGACATTTTGGGAAATGAGATAGATGAGATAAGTTATAACCCAACGACTGGAGACGAGAAGGAAGCAGCCAGCCCAGCTCTGCCCTCGGTGCCAAAATCTGCTTACAAGTGCCTCTCGTTGTTTTATTATGGATCGAACAAATGAAATGCAACAGTACACTAACATTAGACACTGATTACTTGTTGCAATCGTATTTCCAAGGCAATGGCGTTTTGATACAAAGCAATTTTCCATACTGATGAGCTGTTTAAATTCCCCTTATTTAAATAGCTTCTCACTAGTATTCTTCTTCATTGTCTGCCTCCCACAGTCCCTTTCAGAAGTCTTAATACCAGGAGGTGGTCTACAGGTTTGTAATGTTTTCTCTTCTCCACTGGCAACATCCCCCACGGCCACAGACATCTCCCACATGCCCTTTGGCTTCAGAACAATCAGCAGCTATGGTAGAGCTAAGGTACAGTAGCCTGATAATACTCAGACTCATAATAAGCTGAACCAAGCTAATCAACATGGTTCTTAATAGCTGTGTGTTTGTGTGTATAAATGTGCAGGAGCGTAGCTTTGGCTGCAAGGTGTGCGGAAAGGTGTTCAAGCGTTCGTCCACCTTGTCAACCCACCTCCTCATCCACTCAGACACTCGACCCTACCCCTGCCAGTACTGTGGCAAAAGGTTCCACCAGAAGTCAGACATGAAGAAACACACCTTCATACACACAGGTGGGTGAACGCAACAGTTTGATTTAAACCTTGCTCTTAAATGCTCCAGCTCTGAAAAAAAAATGTTCTCCTGCCCCCTTTTTTTCCCTCATCTGCTCAGGTGAGAAACCGCATGTGTGTAAGGTGTGCGGTAAAGGATTCAGCCAAAGCTCCAACCTCATCACCCACAGCCGAAAGCACAGCAGCTATCGGCCGTTCAGCTGCCCCCGTTGTCAGCTCAGCTTCCAGCGCAGGGTTGATCTACAGCGCCACCAAGAGACGCAGTGTGGTTACGGGGACATGTACACTCAAACCTGAGCCCATGAAGCAAAGAAAGTAAAAGTGGGCAGGGTGACATCTGTTGTAAATGTAAAAGTCTGAAAAATATGCTTTTAGTAATAACATGCTTAGAAGGGAATAAAGGCAGACTGGTTTGCTTGAAGAACTCTACAGGGACATCTTTGATTAAAACTCCCAAAAGTCATTCACAAATGATGATAAGGTTATTTTCTAAAGATTTTTTGCAAAGCAAACGTGTTCCGAAGGTAATGAGATGTTATCTCCATTGCAATATACGTGCGCCTGTGCGTGATTGTCCCATTACTGACTGAAGAGCATGCTTAATGTCCTGCTGCTGGGTCATGACACAGATGACTCACAGTGATCACTCACAGGATTCCCCTTGACTACTGCATGCACATGAAGTCTAGTTTGAATTTGCTTTATAAAAATAAAATAAAAACACTTTGTTACCATTTCAACAGCACATTTGGTAAAAGTGTTTAAAGTTGCAATATTGTTACATTAAAGTGGTCAGTCGCTTAAAAAAGAACAAAAGACATCCTTCCTGTTTTGGTATATCAGAGTTGTGTGCCTTATCTTTAAGCTAATTGAAGTAATTGGTGTCTTGCAGTTTAAAGCAGCAGTAATGGCTAATTGAGAAGAAAAACCAACAAAAATCACACAGGAACTGTTTTCTTTCTACACCAACCAGCCATCTATCTTAGCAGGTAGCTTCAAGACAGGCCGTGCTTATGTGAGCACATGTGTATTAAAGTGTACTGAAGATCTACCCAGAGTTCAAGTTTAAGAATGATCACATCCCACCCAAATGTCAGCAGGTTCAGCAGTTTAGTTACAAATATGAGACACATATTTATAACACAGGCTGCTGGGCTGAATTGCAAATGTGCGTTTTCATATCAAAATGTCAATGTTTCTATGCAGCTGCTTTCCTGTGATGTCGTGCTTTAAACTATGACCATAAGACATGAAAGGAGGCTTCCATCATTAAAACCATTTTCTTTATCACATGAAACGAGAGCTGCTGAGTCTTTAAGCTCGGAGTCTGTCCCTACACAGCTCCTGTCCATGTCAGTCTTCCGTTAATCACGTATTATTTTTTTAAATGTATCAAATCGGACAATAATAAATATCAAAGTAGACTGAGAGCTTAAGTCCCCTGTAATTAAATGTAATTTCAGGGTATTTTATTTAAAACTACAATCTAATTATATTTAGCTACAAAAGCTTAAAGGCAGTGACACTGGTATAAGGCGGTAAAAAGTTTATTATACTGTAAGTAAATTTAAGTAATTTTAAGCAGATGTAAATATTGTGAATGAATTCTGGATAGCGAGCAATTTCATGGTAATTTTGGGAAAAATAAGCAATATTTTCCAATCTTAAAATATGCTGTCCTTTTCAAGGCTTGGGCCATATTATGGAGTTATTATGTTCTTTACATCTTTATTTCATATTCATTATGTTGATGTGGATGATGGATTAATTATTATTAATTATTAATTATTCAACTGTCCTTTTATTTTACCACTATAAATGTGACAAGGACTGATCTGCCTTTCCAACTTACCAAAAATACAGTTGAAATTTGCAGGCTTGTATGATCCTGTAACGATAAAACCAAGAGCCAAGTCTAACTTTTTTCACTATGACTGTTTAAACATAACTTTGAAAATGAGTGTTTGCTTTCCTGTAAAACACTGGAAAATTAGGCAAAGTTAAACCGCCCCCTAATTCAGCCCGTGTCCCAAAAAGGAAAGCGTACAATGGAAGATACTTTTCAAGAAAATGATCAAGATATTACACAGTGCTTAAAACTACTTCGATGTCATTTCTGTCGCCTTCGCTGTAAAGTTCCAAGAATTTGGTCCACTTTAAATGAGTTACAGTATCATTATTGCTTTGTTTCCAGTAAAAACCTGACTTGTTACCCCCTTATTCTAGTGTCCCTACCTTTAAGAATCAGTAGGTTAATAGACTGAATTATTATAATTTCAAATAAAATACATCAAGATTCCATTTAATGAAAGGGAAAATCCACCCTTAATTTACTGACTGTATTATAAAGTGTTACCAATTAGACTTTTTCCAATAAGTGCAATACTGTTAAGTTACTGCGTTCCATTTTTCCCTGCTGCTTGATAGTGTCATCCTCTGCGTGTGGAGATGGTGTTGGAGAGAGGACAGGACGGATGGGACTTAACAGTGAGATGTTTATTTAGGATGGGTGAAAAACCAAACAAGAATACAAAACAAAAGGCAAAAGGAGACTCAGACTAACTAAACTGGGCAAAGGTAAACACTAGGAACACAGAACATGGAACCTGAAACATGGAGGGAGGTGAACTGACGTCCCGGCGAGGGACAAAGAGGAACTGACACAGTGAGGGTGATTAGGGAAAGCGGCGGCACGTGGGAACACAGGAGGGACAAATTAGGAATAACAAGACAGAGGAAACCAAACTGAACACAAACATGAGATGAGGGACTGCCAAAACAGGAAGTAGCACGCCCACCAAGGGGATAAAAAACATGGAAACACACGACAGACTGGGGGAGACAAAGGATGAAACACAGGGAGAAGAACGTGGAGAGCACAGAGTCAGGCCGTGAGAGACAGGGCGAGAGACATGACAGACGGGAGGGGACACCAAGCAACAAACCACAGACACCAGATCATGGGAGCGGGAACATAAACCCATAACCCTAAAGTAACCCTAAAGACCTCGAATAATATAGCAGGGAAATGACCAAACTCTACCATTTCTAGTCACAAGAACTAAACAAGAAAACCAACTTAATAAAATCAAAAAATACATTTAACAAGATTCAAAAGGTCCAAAACACAGAACACAACAAATCGATCATTTCTTGAACTGAAACATCAAAAATGGAGAAAAAAGTCTGGTCTTTTTTGCATGGTAACTGCCACAGTCTGAACCCCTGAGCAAGGCACAGAGATACATTTCACACCCAGATGCTATCTACATCTCTTTGATGACTGCAGGATGTAAACATCAATGGCTCCGTCTCCGGTTGAGCTGCGAAACAGCCCAGCAGCACTTCTCAGTTTTCAAAGACAAAATTAAGGTTACTGCACCTTTCAAAATAAATCAGCACGATTGTGTGAAAGTTGTTACTTTTGTTACTTCAAACCCAAAGATAACAATCAGCCACGGCATGTTTCCCTTAAGCTTTACTAAGCATGTTTTGTCTATGACTTTGACATTATGGTTATGCTGTTGAGATGGTTACATTTTTTTGAGACACGAGAGAGAAAGATTGAGACAGATTTTAGCTTTAATACGTTTTATGTTTCCCACATACACAAAAGATTTCGCACACAGATAAACGCAGTTTTAACATCCAGCTGATTCACAACATAAATAGTGAAAACAAGTGTAAAAAGCTGACTGTTCAGACAGGCACACTGTGACCTCATCTTTGACCTCGCGTTCGCTCTGTACGGGCAAAAAAAATAACGTGGTTTCAGAGTGACTCGCTCGACCATGTTTAGGTTCTGTCAGATTCATATATGTGCCTCCACATGTGATGATTCGCTGCTGCTTTTGAAATGACTCTGCATCGAATGGTTGACAACACCACACAAGACAAAGAAGCTCCTTTTCACTTTGAGTCAAAACTCTTGACTCTTCGCTGCGATGAATAAGCGGCGCTGTATTCACTTTAGCATATACAGTATCAGTCTCTTACATTTCGGATGCACGGCAACGAGCCGTACTCGTGAGGAGAAATGCCCACACATGCACGCACACACACACACACAAAGAGAGAGACAAGGCAGCTGCACACACAGAAGTTGTTGAAACCTCTGTCCCAGTTCTCCGTTCTCAGATTTGCAGGAGGAAATCCTGAGAAAGAGATAAAAGAATAACACTGTTCAGACCTATCGGGCATATCAAAGTTGAAATCTGCAGGTGCTCGACATAATGCTGATATATTTTCTGGAAACGACGGCGCTTCTAACCACAACAGTTTATTTTAAATGCACAGCTTTGACATTAGGTCTTTGCAGCCCAGCTGGAGTAAGACGTACAGTTCAACGGCACGGCGGTAGATCAACACTTCTTTAAGTGAAACATAGTTAGAGTTTATAAGCTACCAAATGCCACTGCTTTCACTTGGTGGTTCAGTCACCACCCCAAAATAACAAGTGGTCTTATTAAAGTGGTGAAGTACATCCATGAAATTGTATTTTTGCACTAACAAGCTCATTCCCAAAAAGGTATCAGACAAATACTTGGGATTTCTCAGTATGGTGTGCAGTGTGTCCTCAAAAAAATTGAGGCAACTGGACAAGTCGAACGCAGCCACAGCCATCTGTAAAACACGGCGGAGGATCTGTCGTGGTTGGAGGTGCATTTAAGCCAGATGTGTGGAGGATATTGTCAAAATTGATGGAATTATGGAATTTTCCTTAAATACAGCATCTCCATGCATGCAAGCGTTTCATTAAATTGCTGCACAATAACAGAAATTAAGGCTGACCCAAATCCTCAGCACAGCAATGTAGGTTAACTGTTGATTCTAGATTGGCTGTAAATATGGATCAGTGTCTCTCTGTGTTAACCCTCCCATGATCTGGCAACCTGTTCAGTGAAATCAGAATATGTTCACAAAATGTAACAGTAATAAAATGTGTGCTTGACACAGTGTAACACATTTAATTCCCCTTTGAGTTACCTTCACCATCAGCTCTTACCTCACACTGAGCTCGAGGACTGATCAGACACTGAAGGCGGGTTCCAGATGTTGTGTTCTCCACGAGTCTGGTCTGTTAGATGATCTCTATAAGATGCTGGCCGCTCCGCTGTGGAATAATACAGAAAATATGCAGATAATAAGGTGTATCCTCTTTTCCATCTTTGAAATGAATTTGGGTTTACTGCTAAAACTGCTCTCTGTTCAAAGCACACGATGCAAATTTAAGTTATGATAATTTGGAAGAGTTTCTAGCAGCGTGAATACATCCACAGATTGATATGCTTTAATTTCTGTGCCTTCAAACTGAAAATGTGAAATACGTGAGGTACACAAATGAACAATGCACGCACATTAAATATGTTTTAGATTCTGATCATCAGGAAATACAATGATAATTCTGTTACTGCTGATATCTGATATAAATAAGTGAAAATAACTAAAGATATGATTTCCTGTGCTGCTGTTTCTTTCATAGACTTTCATAGAATAGTCTGGGATCAGTTGGTGTATAAACCTGTATTTAAATGAAACTTGATAAGATGACGTAGGGATCTCTGATTTTTGCGGATGATGTGGTTCTGTTGGCTTCATCGGGTGATGGCCTCCAGCTCGCACTGGAACGGTTTGCAGCCGAGTGTGAAGCAGCGGGAATGAGGATCAGCACCTCCAAATCTGAGGCCATGGTTCTCAGCCAGAAAAGGGTGGAGTGCCCACTCCGGGTCGGGGATGAGTTCCTGCCCCAAGTGGAGGAGTTCAAGTATCTCGGGGTCTTGTTCGCGAGTGATGGGAGAAGGGAGCCGGAGATCGACAGACGGATTGGGGCTGCAGCTGCAGTGATGCGGACGCTGCACCGGTCCGTCGTGGTGAAGAGAGAGCTGAGTGTAAAAGCGAAGCTCTCAATTTACCGGTCGATCTACGTCCCTACCCTCACCTATGGCCACGAGCTGTGGGTAGTGACCGAAAGAACGAGATCGTGGCAGAAATGAGCTTCCTCCGAAGGGTGGCTGGCCTCTCCCTTAGAGATAGGGTGAGAAGTTCGGCCATCCGGGAGGGGCTCAGAGTAGAGCAGCTGGTGCTCCACATCGAAAGGAGCCAGCTGAGGTGGTTCGGGCATCTGACAAGGATGCCCCCTGGGCGCCTCCTGGGTGAGGTGTTCCAGGTATGTCCCACCGGAAGGAGGCCCCGGGGCAGACCCAGGACACGCTGGAGAGATTATATCTCTCGGCTGGCCTGGGAACGCCTTGGTATTCCCCCGGATAAGCTGGAGGAGGTGGCTGGGGAGAGGGAGGTCTGGGCCTTAGGCTGCTGCCCCCGCGACCCGGTCTCGGATAAAGCGGATGAAGATGGATGGATGGATGGATTGATAAGATGACAACATACAGAGAACGCACAAGCTGCCTTTGTTACCTGTATAATTATAGATGAACCACAACCCCCCCATCAGACCGACACCCATTACAAAGGCTGCAAAGACGAGTCCCATCACTGGTCCAGTCTCCACCACCCGGTCTAGAGTCAGAGGGTGATATATTTTAAAGACAAAGACAGTAACATCACCAAAATACAGTAAATGATACTCACTGCTGTGCTCCGGCTCTGGTCTGGCCAGCGGAGTGACGCTGAGTCTCTTGATTCTTTGGCCAGTAGGGTTCCTCATTTTAGGTGACAGTGAACTAATCGGGTGGGTGACCACCATGGGTCTGGAGAGGTTTCTGATCTCACACTGAAGTGGGAATACAGGAAAAGGTTTATGCTTTAGTTATACTGGCTTCACCTTCCAGTGCCATGATATCAGAGGAAAACGTAAGTGTTAAAAAGCATAAATCATAATAAAGTAATTTTAAAAAGAAACTAAACCATTTCAGTTCTAAGGTTTTATATATCAGGGCATATTAAACATACTCTGGTCCTTGGCAGGTATAAAATTAGGTAAATATAACCTCAGTAGTACAAAACAAGTCATGAACCTGTGTCATTATTTATTCAACAAAAATTAGAAAATTAAATGTTGAAGCTGTGTGAGTATATCCCATAATTCATTAGCTTCTGGAATCACCTTTTGAAGTCAATTCAATTATTTTTATATAGTGTCATATCAAAACAGATGCCTCAAGGCAGTCTGGTATAATAATAATATGTTTTTTGTATTCTTACAAAGTTACTTCAGTTAATTGAGGTTTGCAGGCATTGATTTATGCACAGCTCTCTTAAGGCCCCATCACAGCATTTCAGCCAGGGTGAGGTCTGGATTTTGAGCGGGCAGTTGCAAAACCTTGATTTTTTTTTTACTTCTTCAGCCACTCTGTAGTAGATTTGCAGCTGTGCTTGCAATCATTGTCTTGTTGCATGACCCAGTCTGGGTGAAGCTTTAGCTGTTGAACAGATGGCCTACTGTAGAACAATTTGGGATACAGAGGAGTTCATGGTTGACTCAGTAACTACAGAATGCTGGAAAACAAACCCAAATCATGAGGCATTTGGTATTCACCAAACACGGTGTTGTGCATTATAGCCAAACATCTCCACTTTGCACCTGTCCTTCCAGAGGACAATTTTCCAGAAAATTTGTTCAGATACAAATTTCCAAATCCAAGTAATTCTGCCATGTTTGTGTTCCAAACAGCTCACACGTATTCAGTCTTTTTCTAACTGTACTGCCGTGAACTGTAATATTTAACATGCTAACTGAGTCCTGCAGAGTCCGAGATGTAGATCCTGGGACTTTTGCAGTTTATCTAACTTTAGGACCTGATAAGGACCAGATTAATTCCCCTGATATAAAAAACGATGTCCTGGTGTTTACCATGACTCTACTACAGAACTATTATATAAGGTTGCACATTCAAACGTGTTTTTAGCAAATATTTGGCTCTTTATTGTTTTAAATAAAGCTGACCTACTTTCTTACACAGCTTGGTGTGAAGGCTAACACGGTTCACTTTACCTACATTTTTTAAAATCTAAGACTAGGTATGCTAACTGGCTCCTGGCTTTAGGTTTCTCAGTGAGCTTTCAAACACATAATGGTTATCAATCTTCTCATCAAACGCTCCACAAGGAGCCTAACAGGCACTTTATACAAATGACCAAGCTACAGTTTCCCTGCTCCATCTTAGTGCTTTTGACAAGATGATTTATTTGCTATTTCTTCTGGGTTTTTTTTACCTGATGCCCGGGTGATCTAGATAGAAGCAGAGGCATGCGTGGCCTGCCCTGACAGTCATTCTTTATAGTTTCCTTCATGGGTTCCCCTCTAGTTGTGTCAGAGACACAGAGGCGCAGGCTGCAGTGGAGGAACTGCATTGAGTCGTTATAAACTGGTTGTAGAATGAAGCTGAATCTTAAGGGCTGTATCTCCTTCTCCTCTCTCACACTCATGGTCCTCTTGTCTCTCCCTCCTCCACTTTCTGCTTTTTCACCTGTTTGATCAATTCTGCCATTTCCCAGGCCCTCTGTCTCTTCCGTTTCCTCTACTGCTCCAACGTTATCTTCAGTCTCCTCTTGCTCATGTTTTGACTTCGCACTGAAGGTCAGTGAGGGGTCAGAGGAACAGCCGTTACTTATCACAGTCCAGAAAGGCGATTTTTTGGGGTCTGAGAAAGAAGAGACTACACATGACTTCACTTCCACGACATCTGCGAGGGGTGCTTTAGCTGAAATCTGCAGCAGAAAAAATGATGCAGAATATATCATAGTTATAATTAAGTAGCTTTCATGTTCATTAGATGTATTTAAAAAAGTACGCTGTGAAGAAGTTAGTGCGACAGTTTACACCACAATATCAAATCGAAGCAGAGAAAACACATGAAAAAGACCTGGACATAGACACGCTGGTCAGCGGTGATGACACACGGACCAATCCGCCTCTGCTCGTAGCTGTCTGTGACAAAAAGCTCCAAAAGAAGAACAGGCCCAGATCTGTGTCTGGGTGTTGGGAAGTGGCTTAGGTCTGGGGTGGGCCACAAGCCCTCTGGCACCCAGGGGACCAGTTCTGTCTGCACAGTGTTTACATTCTCATTAGCAGCAGCGCTGCTCGGAGGGCCAGGGACAGCAGAAAAACAGCTGAACTGAAAGAAAACAGCGCAAGGTTATGTATGAAAAATCTTGCATGAAAACTGTAAAATATAAGATGAATGTAAACAGACACACAGACGTCTCACACGTATGCCAAGTGGACCTTTGGACTTCTCAGTCTCATTGAGTGAAAGGATGGTCTGAGGTTTGTCCCTCCATAGTAACAGCTGGTCAAAAAGGACAAACAGAGAAATCAAACTCAGAGTCACTCTCAGCCTCCTTCTCCTGGGGCATATCTTTCCACTATGAAAATGAGTCTTTCAGGTGGTGTTTTCCACACAAAAATGATAAAATATACAAATAGTATCAATACCATCATAATGTATAAATTACATTCATCCTGTGGTGTGTAAGTTTAGTTTTATGCCCTCTGCTATTTTCTGTTTCTGTTCTAAATTTTTACTCTGATGAGGCACTAATGATTGGTCAGTATAGAAACCTGCTACGTCTTTCAAAGAGAGTTGTAACAAAAGTTGTTGAATAATTTGCAGATTAAAGTGACTATAACTAAGGACAGATCTACTGAATTTTCAAACATAGTTGCGCTAAAGAGTACATTGAAAATGTTGGGGGTGCAGGTACCCCAGACCCCTCTCTTCAGCTACACCCCTGCTTCAGTGATCTTGGGCCAACCCATTTGAGAAAACCTGACATCAAGATTTTCATGTTTACAACCTTTAGTCTTCTTTAAGGCCCATTTATTTTTCTGTGACTTTCATCAACGTAGCAAGAAGGTTATATGTGTCACGATCAAGAACGTAAAGTAGATGGAGGAAGCTGAGGGATGTTCTCCCACAGACTTCTACACAACCAAACTTTTCTGAAAACCAGAAGAACTGCCCCCTGCTGTCCATTAAAATTAATACAGGTTTAAGGTACATCCCTCTAATATTTGCAGTCTATGTTCTAAACGTTCTCATCTTTTCTGTCTAGCAAGGTTCTTAGAACAAATGCAAGGAAGAGGAATCCTGGAGAAGATTGTTCACACTCAGCTGATAGACTATCTAAATGATTTTCAAATTCCAGAAGCTCTTCAGTTCGGCTTTAAGCTGTTTCACAGCACAGAGACAGCTCTCATAAAGGTTAAACATGTCTTTCTTGTTTTGTTGGATATGACTGCTGATTTGACACAGTGCAACATGACCTGCTGATCTCTCGACTACAGCATTGTGTAGAAATTTCCGGCACTTTTGTGGATAAAATCATATCTCTCTAACAGGAGCTTTTGCGTTAAGTTGAGTTCGGCTTCATCCTCTGTGGCCCCTCTGCCATGGGGTGTAGCGCAGGGATCTATTCTTGGGCCACTAATGTTTTCATGTTTTCCTGCCACTCGGTGCGATCTTCCGAAAACAAAAAATTGAATTTCATCTATATGCTGACGATTGCCAGCTTTATCTACCTTTTCAATCACTCTGATAGCTCCTCGGTTAGACTCCTGTTTGATTGTCTTAGCGATCTTAAGTCATAGATGGCTCTAAAAATTTTTTTTAAATTTTAATAAACCTAAAATGGAAGGAATTACATTGGGTTCCTCTGGTACCCCAGATGTTGACATTGCTGCTCTGACTCCTCACCTGAAGAGCTCGGTTACTAATCTTGGGGTAAAAATCGACTCTGCACTTAGTTTTGATGGCCACGTAAATGAGGTGGTGAAATCTTCATCCTATCCCCTCAGACTTCTGTCAAAGGTTAAGCCTTGTTTTTCCAGGCCTGACTTGGAAACTGTCATCTATGGTTTATAACCTCACGCTTGGATTACTGCAACTACCTTTTAATAGAGGTTGGCCAGGGCCCTCTGTCACTCCTGCAACTGGTGCAGAATGCTGTGGCATGGTTTTTAACTGGTAAAAGAACATTTGAGCACATTAATTTGCTTCTGGTCTCCTTAAACTGGCTTCCAATTGAATTTAGGATCTATTTTAAAATCTTTTTACTGGTTTTAATTTGTTTTTACTCATTTTTAATTAATTTTTATTAGCTGGCCTTTGACTTAGTGGGTAACTGACACGCTATTTTATTGTTATTTATTTTTTGTATTTATTATTCTTATTGTATTTTTTATATTTCTGCTGTACAGCAGGGCCATGTGTTGTTTTTAAAGTATGGTATGCTAAGGAAGAGACACAAGGACAGATGAGCTGAAGCTCGCTCACCTGCTTCATCAGCTTTTCAGCCTCCCTGCCCGAATTCAAATTGTCCCAGATTGCCTCTTCACCTGCATTAACCCGCAGTCTGCCTGACTATCTCCAGCCAAGTCAGCCTCACCAGCTCCAGCGTCATCATTACCTCTACAGTAATAAATGTGGTTCAGCTTGTGGGTTCAGCATTTGGACATAATTTGAATTCACTGCTTCAGCACAGTGGCCTTAAGCCTGTGTTGTTTTTCTGTTTTTCAATCATGTTTCCATCCAGCCTCCCGCCTCTGAGGGGACATTTACTCTCACTTAATTTGCCTCTGCGCAAACACCCATTTTAGGCTTGACCTCAGCAATGTTCTGGTCACAATGACCTGGGTCGCAAGTCTTACCAGGACAACTTCCACTTAACACAAATTCAAGTGGCTGTTATGCACCACATGCCTTTTTTTCCTGTACCATGAGTAAAGGACATTTGTTTTTGTTTTGAACGCAGACGCTTTCCTAACTGTGTTCTGAACGTTTTCCTGTTTGTCCTGTTTCCTCCCTTCAGATTTATTTATTTCTTTATTTTCTGACAGCTTGTTTTGAATTACATCCACAGCGATGCAGATTTTTTTCAAAGACAAGATCTGTATCATTCTTTACCTCGTGTGACAGAAGATATAGAGAGGAAAGTTAGGGTTCAAGTAACAAACAAAGACAGAAAATTCTCCAAAGTTTCAATGTTTTGTTGTTGTTGAAATGTCTTATCTCACCATGTTTTTGTACTGCACCCCTCTAGGCTCTCCCAGGAGCAGGCCTTCTGTCCCACAGGAAATGACTGGGAACACTAAAAGGAAATGGCTCCCATTGGACTCAGCCTGGCAAGTCAGGTCACGCAGAGTCACGGCAGCCACCGGGACAGACAAGTTCTGAAAGAGAGCACTGATGTGAGGCACTACAGAATATCACAGTGTGAACAGCTGCTTTAGGTTTGTCGCTGCTTCTAATTTAGATTTTAAAAAAGTTAAGACCTGCAGAATGCTTCTGTCCACCGTCACGCTGAGGCGTCCGCCCTCACAGTTCACTGTGAAACCCTCCCGGCCTTCTCCTGCTCTGCTGCCACCATTCAGCCACTGCCTCAACCTGCGCTCCTCTGCCTCAGGAGGCCTTGCAACCAGTGGATTCGTCACTGCAAACTTACCTGTGATACAGAGAGGAGATCAAGAGATACAACCATTCACTCAAACATCAAAATCCTTCATTCAGCTGTAAATACTATATGGAATAAATACTATGAGCAAATACTATGGAATAATTTAAACGAAAAAAGACCAAACAAATGATATATACTTTCTTTTGAGTGAAAAAACGAAATTCAAATGTTCAGTTTATACAGCCCATTCTCACTCCTGAGGTGTAACATCCTGACGATTTGTCACGTCCTGCGGCGTTCCTGAGGAACGCGAAAGTTGACCTTCTGCGTTCTTATGCTACGAGCCGGGTTATGGGTGAAATCCAGTAGAATTACGGTCCCGCGGTACTACACGTTCCAGCCATCCCTAACCTTAACCAGCACTTTAATGGTGTTAAATAGTGTTTGCCAAAGCGATTTAAGCAAAATGAACGAACATGTGTAGATTGATTCCAAAAGGTTCTCATGTTTCCTCATTTTTTCCGATCTTGTCATTAAGGGATGTGTTGGGTGCCCGGAAGCGTAACATGTTGACGATTTGTCACGTAGCGTAAAATATTACGCTTTGGAAGTGAGAACGTGTTGGTTCAGACACAGAAGAGTCCCGACCTGCTTCTCCCTCAGCCAGCCGGATCACAAAGTGATTGGCCAGGTCGGCCTCAGTGTATGAGGTCACCGTGGTGAAGCCACTCTCACGGGCCCAAAGGAGAAGGTCCGAGATGCTAGACAGGTCAGGGTCGAGTGTGCTGGCCACTGTTAGGCCAGGCTCAGGTGGGTAGGGTGGAGACACGCTGTTGGAGGACTGTGTAGACAGCAAGATGAAGCATAATACAAGTAAAGATCAAGTAGAGTCAAGGACACTGTGGCACAGAGCAATACAATAAAGTATTTTAGACTATGGCCAGTAATGCTAGGACCAGTTCTTTTTGGATTTGGTCACAATGAGAATGATTTGTGGCCTTAGATTCCTGTTAGCTGTGTGTTAAAAAAAACAAAACAAATTCCACCACGATGGTGATGTAAATGACAGCTGATGCCCTTACATGAACAGAGATGCGACCCTGGACGCCATGAGCAGTAATGGCCCAGTTGACGGGCACAGAGCTGCTGAGAATCAACACAATCTTGTGCGCTCTTGAGTCGGCCACTGGAGGCACAAGCGATACAGTCACCTCTACCTGCATGGAGCTGAAGAAGAGTGGACAGAGAAAACAATGTTTAACCCAAACGGCATCATCTGGGGCCAAATAATTGAAGCAGTACAGAAAAAAAAACCCTGCAGTTCCTTGAATCACCACAGGGGGCGACTCTAGAGTTGCTCTATGTCAAATTATCCAACTTTAAACTAGTTTCAGTACCCTTCATAATTACTCTATGATGGGTGAATACATTTTAAACTGAGCTTTTTATATTGAATTAAGGCTGAAGCTTTATATTATTAGGGGCGTTTCAGGGGGGTTAGGGGGGTTATGACAACCC